ATTTTGTAGTATGGATGTACCATAATTTATTTAGTCAGTTCCCATAGATGTTAATGTTCTTTGCAGTGTTTTAACTTTCATAGACAGGGCTGTAATGAACCCATCTCTCTCTTCCCTCCTTCGTTCCTTTATTCCTTCTTTCCTTCCTTCCTTCCTCCTTCCCTCCCTGCCTCCCTTCCTTCCCTTCTTTCCTCCTTCTCTCCCTTCCTTCCTTCCTTCCTTCCTTCCTTCTTCCTTCCTTTTTTGTGCTGAGGATTGAACTCAAAGCTTTGTGCATGCTGGGCAAGAGCTCTACCACTAAGCTACAGCCCCAGCCCTCACTGTACATTCTTACTGTGGTAATGTGAAGGTTAGTCTCTAGATTTGATAGCTACAAGTGGAAGTAAGTATCTTCAAAGGAAAAAATGATTGATTCTCTTTAGAAATGGCAAGCTCTAAATGTAAGGTGACAGCTGATGGGATTTGGAGGTGAGACTGAGGATGAAATTTGTTGGGTAAAGGGTGAGAAGCACTCATTGTAAATAGTCCCTGCTCCAGATAAACACAGTCTGGTGGCTGCATCTTTTAGACTCATAGAGGATATGGCCTTCCAATGCATAAATCCATTTAATCAAAAACTAGATGTTAAGTTTATATAGCATTTTACATCTGATAGAGAAGTTGACTGGAAATTTGGGAATCTGCATTCTATTTCACTCTCACTGTTATGTGGGTATGTGATCTTGGACAAGTTACTTGGCCTTCATGAGCTTGTTCCTCATATGTAAGAGGAGGTGTAAGATTACATTAACTACAGGCTTTTTTATTCTTCATCAATCTATGACTCACTTCTTGTGGAGCTTATCTTACAATGGCTTTAAGATAAAATTGTATACTTTGGATAGAAAAATAGGTCTTTAGGACATAAAGTGGGTTTTCAGAAGTGGACTGTCCTTATTTATCATTGATCAGTATAGAGTGAAAGAAAAGTTTTAGGAAGATTAATTTGGCAGAAGGGTTTTATACATCTGAATGGAAACCAGAGGCCAGAAGATAAGTTGATGTTGTCACACAAGGAGTGTGAGGGTGGGATAAAAGTGGTGACAGATGCTGCTTTGGAGGTTTGGGTGCAAGGTTTAAGGCATAAATTCCAAAGACATTCACAATGAAGAAGACCAGCGTTGAGGCTAGCTGATGCTGTGTGACAACCGCCACGTGCACCACAGCAACAAATTGGCCTAAAATGATGGTGATGATTCTGAAGCCTGATTTGTGGGTCAGTGGTTTGGGCTGGTTTGGAGGTTTTACGCTAGTCATGGCTAGGCTCATTTATGGAGTGGATTTCCTCATGTGTCTGTAGTCCACTAGCCTGTAGTGGCTTTGCTCACCTATTTGGCTTTTGGCTGGAGTAAGGGAGTGACTGAGCCATGTGTATGTCATCATCCGGCAGGGTTACTATGGTTTATATGCTTGGGTTGTTTCAGTGCAAGAGAGGTAACCCAGTGCAGCCAGAGAGGGCAAACCTCAGTATCCATGTTCTCAAGTGTCTGCTTGCATGATATTTGCCATTATCCCATTGGCCAAAGCAAGTCACATGTCAAGTTCAGGGTCAGTACTGGAAGGGACTAACCAACAAGTGCAATCATTTTTGCAAATGATCTAAGAATTTGGTATTGGTGGTAGTGGTGGGAAAGATTAGATCTGGGGAATAAAGTAGAAAGAATCAAAAGAGGATTCTAAAATTTCTTAGAGGGTGAAATAGTTCAGCTTATCTATTGAATAAATACTGTATACCAGAAGTTTGCTCTGAATACTAATTAAAATAAAAAAAAGAGTAAGACATTACCCCATTTTCAAGAAACCTGGAGTCTAATGGAGGGGGAAGAGGTATGTGAACTACTTAAAATTGTTGGGATAGAGCTATCTGTTAGACAAGGAGTCAGGGAACATTTTCTGTAAAAGGCGGGTTAGTACATAGTTTTGGCTTTGTGGATCATCCGTATCTGTTGCAATGACGTGTACTTTGCTGTAATAGCATAAAAGACATCATAGATAATATATTAAAAAACGTGGCTGGGTAAAGATTAATGGCGAACCCATTAGGGTGGTTGGAAAGAAAGCCAGGTTTGGAGGGCCAAATGATTTTATGGGGCGATGAACTGAATTTTGAAACAGTTTGGAAACATTCAAATGGAGATGGCTGATATGGGAGGGCATGTGGGGCTATAGACCTGGATCTAGGTAAGGGCTTCAATTTTGGAACTATGAGAGTACAGTAATTAGTAAATGAAGTTAGGAATGAGATGCATTGCATCTGGAGGCAGAATGTGAAGAAGAAAAGGCAAAGAAACCAGGGTAAGGCTTGTATAAAACTTTCAGTTAGGATAAGTAACAATTAGAAGCTTGTCAAAAAAAAAGCATCTGGGAAAGAATCAGAAAGGGGTAGTGTCTGTGAAACAAAGAGAGTTTCAGGAATAAACGGGTGGTCAAGAGAGGTCAAAGGTAGTGAAGAGTGAGACCAGGTCACGGAGATGGCCAGTGAGGGAGACATTGTTCTAAGAATGTCAAACTTAGCCTTTAGGCAAACTCTCCTGTTTTACACACATTCGAAATACCTTCATAATTAGAAACAGTGCAAAGAGACACGCAGCAACATTGCTTACCAGTGAGTGTAAATCTTTTTGCTAAATTTATATTTGTCATTTGTAGAAGAAAAATTAACACCATCTACAATTAGCATGTGTTTTACTCTTTCCAAGGCTTCTTGGTAACTTTTGGAAAAGGAATTTGTTGGGAAATAACAATAGTGAACAAGAAAGCAATACAAAAATGTTGTAAGTATTTGAGGCAAAGCCCTTTTCTAATTTCTAATTAATGTTTTTAAAATCCAAATATGGTTTCCATTATCATATCTGAATTATTTTTAATTAACACATATTAATTGTATATATTAATGATATTTCTACACATGCATATAGCATGCACTGATCAATTCCAGCCTCCCTTTCCCACCCTTCCTCCCTCTTCGCCCTTCTCAATATCTAGTAATCACTATTCTACTTTCAGAGGCTTACCTGAATTTTGAGTTAAAAAAAGAGTAGTTAGGTTCTTTTTTTTTTTTTTTTTTTTTTTGGTGGCACTGGGGATTGAATCCAGGGCTGCTCTATATCTCCAGTCCTTTTTATATTTTATTTTGAGATAGGTTCTTTCTAAGTTGGCCAGAATGACCCCAAACTGGTGATCCTTCTTCCTCAGTCTTCCTAGATGCTGGTGTGCACCACCATATCTTGCCAAGACTTTTAGTTCTTAATATATATTTATTGATTAAATTTAAGCGTTTAATGCAGCGTATATTATGCAGGTCTGTGGAAACGTCTTCTAAGATGACAGAACCAGAGTTTCAAAGTGGTCTCCTCATTATTACATTCAACAACTCAGCCATCTTCCAAGATAACAGTTATTCTTCCAAGGCCTTCTTTTCTTTTTTTTTAAAATTAAATTATTTATTTATTCTAATTTGTTATATATGACAGCAGAATGCAATTCAATTCATGTTACACATATACAGTACAATTTTTCAAGTTTCTGGCTGAACACAAAGTAGATTACACCATTCTATCTACATACATGTACTTAGGGTAACGATGTTCATTTCATTCCACCATCGTTCCTACCCCCATGCCCCCTCCCTTTCCCTCCTTCTCCTTTGCCCTATCTAAAGTTCCTCCATTCCTCCCATGCTCCCCACTCCCCCCGCATCCCCATATGAGTCAGCATCCTCATATCAAAGAAAACATTCGGCCTTTGGTTTTTTGGGATTGCTCACTTCACTTAGGGTAACATTCTCCAACTCCCTCCATTTACTGCAAATGCCATGATTTTGTTCTCTTTTAATGCTGAGTAATATTCCTCTAAGTACTTCTTTTTATCCCCCAGTGGAAAAACTTAGAGATGATGCTGCTGAAGGATGATGGAGAGATTAGCTTTTGCTTACAGGCTTCTGACTTGAATATATTTGGGAAGACATCTGTATGAGTTTGCTAGAGCTGCCATAACAAAATACCACATACTGGGTGGCTGAAACAAAAGAAACTTATTTTTCACAGTTTGTAGGCTACAAGTCCAAGATCTGGGTACCAACAAGTTTGGTTTCTTCTGAGGCCCCTCAGTGGCTTATAGATGGCTATTTTTCTGTGTCCTCACATGGTCTTTTCTCTGTGAGTACACCTATCTGTGTTCTGCAAGTGTCTATGTCCTGATCCCATCTTCTTATAAGGACATCAATCACATTGGATAGGCCCTCATAAAGCCTCATTTTACCTTTTAAAACCTATCTTCAAATATAGTCACATTTTAGGGGCTGGGGTTGTGGCTCGGCGGTAGAGCGCTCGCCTAACATACATGAGGCCTTGAGTTCGATCCTCAGCACCACATAAAAATAAATAAACAAAATAAAGGTATTGTGAATAGCTAAACAATAAAAAATAAAAATAAAAAGATTGCCCATCCAAATATAGTCACATTTTGAGGTAGTGGGGGTTAGGACTTCAACACATGAATTATTGGGACATGATTTAGCCCATGACAACATCTACATTTGCACTCTATGACTTAAATGGCATTTTGCAGATGTATTTACCACACATGATTACAGTTAAGACTCTATAGTTTTGTGCTAATTTGCTATCTTGGGCAAATCATTTGGGTTCAAATAATTAAAAAAAATGATCACAGTTTGTTTTGTGTGCTTGGTAAATGTGTGCACATATATGTGTATATAATATATACACATATATTTTTATAAATGTATATATTTTTATAGAAATCTTTTAAAGTTAATTGAAAGTAAAAATATCATGACATATATCCCTATATATTTCATTTCCTGCATTTCTAAAATATAAGAACATTCTCCTACTTTATTTGCAATTGAATTAAATATTTATTTCTTCTCAAATGTATGTATTCAATTTTGGTGTTTGCTTGAAGTGCTCATGCTTTTGCTTTCTGCTTTCCATCAGGTGTGCATCATATCTACTAGGCTAGAGTCTCATCAACAATTCTAAAGCATTCCGTGGTTGAATGAGAGGAAACGCTGATGTAGGTGGGTCTGGAGGATGTGGTTATGTATCATCACACATCACGCCAGACATTCACTGTGTTGGTGTTAATCATTGCAGGTAAAATTTACTCAGGCTATAGTTTGTGATTTCTGTCTATGTGAGATTTTAATAAAATCATGCCTTGGAGATACTAAGTTTTACAAATCGTTTTTGATAAAATTTAAACTCTTTTATTTTGCACCCTGACCTACTTTCTTCCTTGGAGATGTTCTGGCTGTGTTAGTGTTTTCCTGGAAAATTTATTTATTTTTATCCTTAATGTCACATAAGAACTAACTCAAGGTTCTCAGGGAAGTTCTATCCCATTTCTATCTTTATTTAGAGTCAGTTTGGCAATTACAGAAGCATTGTGTTATTTGCTGTGTCTTAGTCCATTCAGGCTGCTGTAACAAAATACCATAAGTTGGATGGCTTATATACAACAGACATTTATTTCTTGTAGATCTAGAGGCTGTGAAATCATGACCGAGGCACCAGCATAAGTAATCTCTGGGAAAGGCTTATTTCCTGTTTCCTGTTTCATAGAGGGTGACTTCTCACTATAGAAGTTAGAAGGAGCTTCCTTGTAATGGCACTAATCCTATTAACAAGAGACCTGCCCTCTCAACTCTTCCTACACACCCCACTTTCTACCACTATAACCTTGAGGATTAGGAGGGTCAACATATGAATTTGGGGGGCACACAAACATTGAGACCATAGCAGCTTAACATCTGCCCTCCCATCTGAGAATTCTGCAAGGATATTCACTTTCTTCTACCCTGAACTTCACTAAACAAAAAGTTCTCATTGTATTATTTCTCCATCACCATTGCAAATTGAAACCCAATGGTGTATATTTATTATTTGTTGTAAGTAAGGTTCTTTGTGGAGCCTTTTGAATTTAGTCAGACAATGTATATGACAACTTTCACCCTCTCTTGCTGCCAAGTCAAGCCTTCACACCTGCCACTATCTCTGAGCAGGATACCCACCCAATTCCTTTTCAGAAGCATACTCATTCTTTAATCACAAACTATGACTCACCTCACTAGTGGGCTCTTTCCAGACTTGGCCACTAGAATCCATATATACCTCTCACTGTAAGGGACTCATATGCATTCATTCTCTGTCTTCTAGATTACTTAAATGTTGCTTTAATTATATTTAGTTTTTCCCTCTTATTTGGGTTCTATAATAGAAAAGAATACAGCAGACATAATCTCTGGTCCCACAAAATTTAAAAGCTAAAAGAGGGGGACACATATAGCCACCATGCTATCTACTTTAGAATGCAATATTTCCAGAGTATGAACTGGATTTTTTTCTGAATAGTTTATATTTAGCTAATTCAGTTCTTAACAATTATATTTCTAGCCATTTTAAAAAATTCACAATATTCCTGTAAGACAGTTGGGCAGGTATAGGCAAAGCTCATTTTCTTACTGGAATTTCTTTAGAAACTGCATCATAAAGTGAGTCATTATGAGGAAATTCTATTTTTCCCAAAGGGACAATGTTTAATTTGAGGGTCATATATCTTCTTAGAGACTCCCACTTACCTTAAAGCTATTCTAAAATTGGTACAGTAGGAGCTCATTATGGTTTGGTTCTAAAAATGTTTCCCAAAGAGCTCATGTGTTAGCTCATGTAGCAATGTTCAGAGGCAAAATTATTAGATTATGAAAGCTATAACATCATCAGTGGATTAATCCATTTGATGGATTAGTAGTTTGAATGGACCACTACGTGTTCACTGCAGGCAGCTGGGGCATGGTTGAAGGAGGTAGATCACTGGGGGTGTGTTCTTAGACATTATCTTTCCCCTGCCTCCTCACTCTTTCTTTTTGCTTCCTTCTGAGCAGCATTCCTCTACCACATTTTCTACCATGATATTCTCTTCACCATGGGCCCAGAGCAGTGGAATCAACTGACCATGGACTGAAACTGTGAGTCTGAAATAAACTTTTCCTACCTCAAGTTGTTCTTGTCAGATATTTTGGTCACAGTGATAAAAAGTCAACTAACATAGAGTCTAATTTAAAAATCCTGAGAAAGATGCTTTCAGATTTTTTTTTACTGGTAATATGCTTTAAAATAAAGGACCAAGCCAAAAAGCTTTATATTCATCTTTTCTAATATCTTCGATTTATTAAAAGTTACTAATGGAGTTGCTTATACAGATGGATGAAAGCTTGTCATCCTTAAAAGATGCTGGAGCTCTAGACACTTCATTCACAAACATGAACTGTCAGAACTACTCATTCTTCATGGATAATCTATAGATAATCTATAAATATCATTGTTAGGCTATAGGACCAGAATCTTAAAATGGAGTATCATCACAGTAGTGATTCAATGGGAGTACTTCAACATGTACTTATTTGAAGTATGTATACTTAAGCCTATAAAATTAATGTGCATATTAATTATCATCACATGAATATAGGATCTAGATCAGAAATTTTGGAAAATTAATTTTATTTTATTGAACTTCTACTGTGTTCTAGACAGTGAGGTAACAATCCTGATCAACAGATCTGCCCTGATGGAGCTTATATTCTAGTGGGGGAGATAGACGATTGACAACTCAGAATATATACATAATATGATTTTAGTTGGAAATGTAAATCAGAGCAATAAAGGTTTTTATGGAAAGGGGATGAATTTAAAAGAGGTATCTAGACATGTTCCTTTGTAGTTGTGACATTTGAGCAGATGTCTGAATAAAAGAGGATGTAAACTATTCAAAGATCTGGGATAGAGCATTCTAGGAGAAGAATTGGTGCAAAGAAACCCAGCAACACCATTCAACATGTTCAAGGGACAAATGCAGGAAGCACTGATAGAGAAGTATTTTTAAAAAATTTGTTCTCATTATTTATGCATGACAGCAAAATGCATTTAAATTCATTGTACACAAATGGAGCACAACTTTTCATTTCTCTGGTGGTACACAGTGTAGAGTCACACCATTAGTGCGATCATACATGTACCTAGGATAATGATGCCTGTCTCACCCCACCATAGTTGCTACTCCTATACCCCCTTCCCTCCCCTCACTCCTCTCTGTCAAATTCAAAGTTTCTCCATCCTTCCCATTCCCCTCCCTCTTTATGAATCAGCATCCACTTATCAGAGAGAACATTTGCCTTTGGTTTTGGGGGGATTGGCTTATTTCACTTAGCATGATATTCTCCAACTCCATCCATTTACCTGCATATGCCATAATTTTATTCTCTTAATACTGGGTAATAGTTATATATATATATATCTCACAGTTTCTTTATCTATATATGAAATTAAGGGCATCTAGATTGGTTCCACAGTTTAGCCATTGTGAATTGAGTTGCTATAAACATTGATGTGGCTTTGTCACTGTAGTATGCTTATTTTAAGTCCTTTGGGTATAGATGGAGGAGTGGAATAGCTGGGTCAAATGGTGGTTCCATTCCAAGTTTTCTAAGGAATCTCCATACTTCTTTCCAGAGTGGTTTCATCAATTTGCAATCCCACCAGTAATGTATAAGTGTGCATTTTTCCCCACATCCTCGACAACACTTACTGTTGCTTATATTCTTAATAACTGCCATTTTGACTGGCATGAGATGAAATCTTAGACTAGTTTTGACTTACATTTCTCTATTGCTAGAGATTTTCATACATTTGTGGATAGATTGTATATCTTCTTCTGAGAAGTGTCTGTTCAGTTACTTAGCCCATTTGTTAATTGGGTTTTTTTTTTTGGTGTTGAGATTTTTGAGTTCTTTATATATCCTAAAGATTAGTGCCTTATCTGATGTGTGTATGGTAAAAATTTGCTCCCATTTTGTAGGCTCTCTCTTCACCTCAGTGATTGTTTCTTTTGCTAAGAAGAAGCTTTGTACTTTGAATCAATCCCATTTATTGATTCTTGATTTTATTTCTTACTCTGAAGGAGTCTTATTAAGGAAGTTAGGACCTAATATGACATGATGAAGATTTGGGCCTACTTTTTCTTTTATTAGATGCAGGGTCTGTGGTCTAATCCTACGCTCTTGATTCATTTTGAGTTGAGTTTTGTGCATGGTGAGAGATAGGAGTTTAATTTCATTTTGCTGCACATTTTCCAGTTTTCCCAGCACCATTTGTTGAAGAGGCTGTCTTTTCGCCAATGTATGTTTTTAGTGCCTTTGTCTGAAATAACTGTATTTAGGTGGATTTGTCTCTGTTTCTTCTATTCTGTACCATTGGTCTACATGTCTATTTTGGTGCCAGTACCATACCATTTTTGTTACTATAGCGGACAGAGCACTATTTATAAAGGAGAGAGAAGTGAAGCAGAGAGGAACCAGGTCATAAAGAGCAATGCAGACTGGGTGTGGGTCTGAATTCTCCAAGAATCAAATGTAAAAATGGGATTAAACATGGAAGGGTTTTATTCAGTGGATACCTGGGTGGGAGAAAATGAGGAGGGTCCAGTGCAGGTTGGGAGAGGCCTGAGACTGTGATACTATGATGCAAATTGACCTTGGGCAAAGAAGAGAAGGAGGAAATGTGGCTGGAAGTGTCCTAGACTGCTGTGTGGTAGAAGGAGGGTTCATCAAGGTCATTGACGAGTCCTTGAGCCCAAGATGGCCATCAGAGGAGTCTTGTGTTTCCCAGGAGTGAGTCTTCTTTATTGTCAGTCACTGGCTGGGGACAACTGGTAGGAAAGGTGTCCTAATGCAAAACAGTGATGAATTTCAGAGTGTAGAAGCAAGGACTTTCAATCAATTATGCGCTCTGTGACTGGAGATCTGTGTGTGTGTGTTCCATGGCAGGCACAGCATGGCTGAGAATTTGTATGTATTGTCAATTGAAGGAAGTCATTGGAAGGTTTTGAATAAGGGAGAAAGGTGGTCTGATTTACTTACAAAAATGTCACTCCAACTCCTCCACGAATAACAGACTTTTGGGGTATAGCAGGATATCACATGAATCTAAGTTGAAAGGTAAAGACTTTTGACTAGAGTAGTTGCTACAGAAATTAGGAGATGGAGTAAGGTTCTGGAAGATTTTGGAGACAGAGCTAAGAGTCTGCCAATGGATTGAATGCTGGTAGTGAAGAGTTAAGTATGACGTTGGAGTGTTGGGATTGAGCAATTGAATGATACTATCTTTTCTCATTCGCTGAGATAGCAGTCGGGGAGGCTGGGGTTAAATCAGGGACTCGGTTGTATGTATGCTAGGTTTGAAATACCCAGTAGATACTGGGTATTTATGGAGCTATCTGGATGTGTGAGTGAATGAACACTGGAGAAATTTCCAGGGTAGAGATGTAGTAGAGAAGAGAGACAAAACTGAGGGCAGACCCTTGGGAACTAACTCTTACAGGTGAGGAACAGAAAGAGGGCAAAACAGTAGCTAACTGATGTGGAAGAACTGGAAGTTGTGGTGTCCCAGAGAAAACGGGAGGAAAGTGTTTTAAGAAAGAAGCGATCAACTATGTCACGACGTGCTGCGGAGAAATTGATGAGGACTCTAAACAGACTGACTTTTGGATTAGGCAAGATGTAGGTCTCGATGATCATGACAAGGGTGGGTTTATCAGAACAGTAGGAGAAAAGGCAGATGGATGGAGAACAGGCGGTGAGCAAGTACAGACAGAGAGCAGAGACAGTTGTTTGGAGGAAATTGTGATAAAGGGAGCAGAGAAGGCAGTAGTGTTAGCATGTTTCTATTTCTGTGAGAATGATTCAGAGTAGAAGGGAAGTTGGATATGCAGAAGAAGGGGCTCCTATTGCAGGAGCTAATCTTTGAGTAGCCTTCTGGAAAAGGGCTTCAGAGCATAAGTGGATGAGCTGACCTTACCTAAGAACAGGGTGAGATGGTTCATTGAACAGGAGGAAAGCTCAAATGTAGAGGCGCTGACACATAAATGCTGGTAGAACAAAGAGGAAAATATTTTCAGATTCAAATTGAAGTAAGAAGTAAAACCACTAGATCAAAGTGAGGATTGGGGCTGATCTGATAGAGGTTTGAGAAAAGAGGGTAAAATAATAATCTCCAGTCCTAGACTTTCAGAGAGTGGGAAATCTTTTGACGAGGAGATAATGTGAAAAGGCCACATTGCTCCCTTTTGTGAGTATGTGTGTCCACTGTAGATGTCTAGAATGAAGTAAGACCTCGCAGTGCTTCTCAACATAGAGGGTCCATCTGAGATGGTCGTTAGCAATATTGGCAAGAGGCCATCCAAGGACACTGTTGGGTGCTCTTCTTTTTCTGTTGTTCACAGCTGTGGTTCTCAACTGGAGGCAATTTGTCACAGGACAGAACATCTGACAATGACCAGGGACATTTTTGTTTGCCACAACTCTGAAGTGGGAGGACAGTTCTACTCACATTAGAGGCTAAAGATCTGTGTGGTAGATTCTTTAGGCAACCATAGCACAGTAAAGAATTTGGATTTACTGTTAAATTGATGGGAAGTCATTGGAAGGCTTTGAAGAAGGGAGAAACATGATCTGATTTACTGATAAAAGTCAGGCCAGGGATATTGCTAAATATCATACAATGCACAGGATCATCCTCCACAACTAAGAATCAGGTGCCCCCCAAATTTCCATAGCATCTAGATGAGAAATCCTGGTCTACAAGTTCATAGTGCAAGAATTTTCTCAGATATTAATACTAGGTCAAAATTCACGGGTGCCTAAAGGAAAGAGCTAACTGTGTCCCATTATTTAAAAAAAACAAAACAAAACAAAACAAAAATCCATAAGTGCTTTATTAGTGTTTAATGTATACATCATGTTATCAGAGATTACATCCATTTAGTCTGTATGAATATTCCACAGGACACTTAAAGTGTTCTTGAATTGCATGAGCTCATCCACCTCCAGCTTCTAGTGGCCCCTTAAGATCAGCTGATCCCAATGCCATGGGGATGCAAGGATTAGGAAGATCCACTATTTCCTTGGTTCATGTATGTCCTTCACCTTTGTGGTCATAGAACACATTCTGGAGTTGTGTGTGTGTGTGTGTGTGTATGTGTGTTTATCTACATATAAGTCTCTGTCTATATCTGTATCTGTGAATCTGTATTTTTTAAAATTAATTAATTTATTTTAATTAGGTATATATGACAGCAGAATGAATTTTGATTCATTATACACGATTGCAGCACAACTTTACATTTCTCTGGTTGTACATGATGTAGTGTTGTACCATATGTGCATGCACCTAGGGTAATGATGTCCATTTCATCCTACCATCTTTCCTGCTCCCACGCATCCTCCCTAGTGAATCTTATTTTAAATATGGATTTCATGTTTTAATTAGCATGCCTTTATATTTCACTTTGGTATTGACATCATCATTCTTCTTCTTATTAACAATTATCAATTGTTAGGCTCTTGTTTTGTCATATTTATTATTACAAGTAAATTTTAGAATCACTTTTTCAAGTTCCACTGAAAATACCTTGGATTTTCTTAAGAATTTCATTGAGTATCACCTTAGCAAAAATCGATATCTCAACCAATGGAATCTGTCTGGACACAAAGGAATAATGTATTTTGGTATTTATTCACAGTTTTACAGAAGAGTTTTATGCAGTTTCTTCTTTCTTGTTTGATCATTCTTAAATACATGTATATAAAAAGCTTTCATTATTGTTATTAAATATGATCTTTTATTACATTTGGTGGATTATTATTGCTGATTTTTAGTAATGCCATTATTCTGGTATACTTGTCTGATATCTTAATCCTTCAGGAAACTCTTTGTCCCTTTGGTGCTGGCGATGGAACCCAGGGCCACATGCATCCTAGGCAAAAGCTCTACCACTGTGTTAATATATTCCTGGGCCCCTGGAAATTCTTTTATTAGATCTTGTAATTGTCAAGTGGTATCTTGAGCGGTCAGTCTGCTCCCTTTTGTGAGTATGTGTGTCCATTGTAGATGTCTAGAATGAAATAATACCTTGCTGTGCTTCTCTTTTGTGGCCTCTTTTAGGAATTCTGCCTAGTTAGGTCCTCTGGAGGAACTACTTCAGCCAAAAGATATCCACAGTCATGCAGAGAAGAGATGCAGCCGCTTCAGCCATTCTGCAGGTATTTCTTAATTTATGATCGCGATGATCTCATAGTTTTTTCTGCTTCTCCTATTTGTGGCTCCAGAGCCTGCAGTTTCTCTCTGATGGAGTCCTTAGAGAGAGTGACTTTTGGGGAGATAGCTTTCCCACACCAATTGTGTCTGGAAGTTTTCTCTGGTTTGGCTTTTCTATCGGTCTGATCCCATCTGCTTTTTATTTCCTTAAAATTTCTTGTCTACTGATTATACTTTTCCTTGTTTCCAGTGCTGTTAGGGATTTTTTTCTTCAAAAAGACCTTTTTCATATCTTCCTATGGGATTTGGGAAGGAATGAGATGCAAGCATATGTGTCTCATCTGTCACCTTGACCTGAAAGCATTCTGAGCTCTGGTAAAGTAGCGGTCATTGCTGTTGCTTTATTACACTAGGGCTTGATCTCTTTTCTATCAAACATAAGCTACATAAGCTTTTTCTTCTACTGTTGATGAGTTAGTAATTAGAGATTGTTTTTTGTTGTTTGATATGTACTTTGAATGCAGTATTGGCTAGAGATATTTCTTTGCATCATTTCTAAATCGTTAGACTCCATATTATGTCAGAAGCATGGACTTTGGTAGCCTATTTGGAAGGCCAGTCTGGAATGCAATCCCTAGGTAAACTAACAAAGGATTGATTTGTAAGCCCTCAGAAACAGGGATAGCCTGAGGAACCTACTGTCTTCGGCTTAGATCCCTAAATGGGACATTAAGTGATGTTATAAAAGGACCATGGGGCTTGGAATTTGGAGTCCATACCTCAGATATTGCCACTGGCACTTACTAGCTGTGTGATCTTGAGCAAGTTCTTTAACATTTTGGAACTTCAGTTTTCTTATCTGAAAAATAGCAATGATTGCCTTTCTCAGAGGATTCTTGTGACAATCAGATGAGAGAACTGAATGTTCAGGTCCTTTAAGAAACTGAAGGGAGGTAAAAGGTTTGTATTAAACATTCTCATCCCTTACCAATGATGATTTTCAAAAATTATATTTTAAAAATCTCAAGAATCTCTGATTCTCTTAGACATGATTCCTTGAATCCAAATATTTATTATAAAGGAGACTTTAAATGTGAGAAAAAGACAAATGCAGAATAAGTGTTTTGTTTAATAAAATGGAACAATTTATTAGATCTGATGAAAAGTAAAGGTTTGTTTTCATTAGTGCTTCAAAATTATGCTTCCCAAAAGGAACCAATTTGGAGATGTTTTCATAAAAACATCTGGATAGTGGGCTAGACATGTTTAGAATGTGCCCCATCTGAGAATACTTAATTTTTATTCTGGCTGGGTGATCCTCTTCTCTAGATTAAATGTTTGGAACTTCACCTTGTTCTTTACGACAACCTAGTGTCACCTGAACAGTCAGTTCTTTCAATTAGAATGCTTAACTGGGCAGTCTATGTGAGTCAGTTTTCAATTTAAGAATTCTGCCAGGCAGGGAATTGTAAAAGAAAAAAAAATTGAAGTCAGACCATGAAAACTCAGAATTTATTTGTGCCTGGCTAATTTGCCAGGGAAAATAACCGTGGGGTATATTTTTTTGTAGAAGAAAATTAAGCATTCTAATGGATCGGGATTAAGCTTTTGGAAAAAGAAAAAGATTCATTAAACAAAAAAAAAAAAAAAAAAAAAGAAAAAGAAAAAAAATTCCTTTCCCAAGCTTCCCTTGACCTGAAGTTATGGAAACAGAATACTCCAAAGAACAAAAAGTGTTGAAAGTTTGTTTGTGGTGCTTTGAGGGGAATGGCATTCCAAAAAAAGTGGAACAGAATAACACCCTCACTGGAAAGCCCAAGACTCTGTCCTGTTTTCCAGTGGCTAAAACTCTAGATGCTTAAAAAGTGATTCTTAAAATTTAAATATGTGGGCTGGGGATGTGGCTCAAGCGGTAGCGCACTCGCCTGGCATGCGTGTGGCCCGGGTTCGATCCTCAGCACCACATACAAAGATGTTGTGTCCGCCGATAACTAAAAAATAAATATTAAAAAAAAATTCTCTCTCCCTCTCTCCCTCTCTCTTTAAAAAAAAATTTAAATATGCTTCCTAAATTTATCAAATTTCTTTGGATGATAGATGGTGCACATTTAAATGTAGAATATAACTGGTTAACATGTGAGTTAAGTTAAAACAACACTTTTTTTGAACATTTTTTTGGGGGGTGATGCTTTCAATATATTGGGAGAATATTTTGTTTTTAAAAAGAATAGAGATGGAAGGGTTTCTTTTTTTAATTGACTATTTGGAAATAATGCAATTGTGTTCCTTCACTTCACTTTCCCTTCCAACTATAGCTCTATGCCTGCGGTCACCTTCACAAAAATTCTTAAAAGAATTGTCTATATTCACTGTGTTCAATTTCTCTTTTTCATTCTCTCTTGAATCTACTTAATGTGAACTGGTCCCGACTGATTTGGTCATGTTGTGACCGTTAGATTCCTTTGGGCAGATAATGGTAGCCACCAAGAGGGGTCAAGATGGCATTTCGTCAGCACCTCATTGCCAGCAAGTCTTAGGGCAAAGTGGAAATGTGTAAATTCTATTTAAAGCAAGCAGGCACAAAAATGGTATAAACCCCAAATATTTGTCTTTCAGGTGTTCTGGCCATGGGTTATTTGAGAATGTCATTAAGGCAAACATGACAATATTCTAGAGGTATCATCCAGATGATCCAAATCCGTGAAATCAAAGCTGGATACAGGCCAGTTAGAGGTACTGGGCTGCCATTCTGAAGTGCAGACTGTAGGACACACAGATTTTTATACTCTTCTTCAAAAGTAAGTGGGGGCAAAATAGTTTAGGCAATACACAATACCACAACCATCACTAACTTCACCTGTGAAAACCCAAACACACATAATGATTCTAAGCAAGATCTGTTATTAACCAGAGATTTAAAAGAAATAAAACTGCAATGATTTCAGTATCTTCATTATATTGAAATGAACAATATCTTTCAATGTACAAAGCATCACTAACTTCATGAAAGTTTGTAGTTTTAACTATAACAGAATTTCCTGGAAGACTTGCTAAAAGATTGCTGAGTCCCCGACTCCAAGTTTCTGATTTAGTAGGAATGGGTGGGGCCTGAAAATTTTCATTTTTTAACACATTCCCAAGTAATACTGTTTCCTGTCTGTGATCACTCCTTCAGAACTGTTGATATGATGCTTATAAGTCAATTCAAGTTCAGTATTTCTCCTTGAGTTGATTTTAATAAATTTAGAAAATGATATATTTCACCTCTGAATTTTCTTAGTTTTTAATTATGACATTAAATGCCTAGTTAAGTATTATTTTATCTATGTCATGCAGAACTGATATGTAGGTTTTTGTCAGCATTCAGTTATAAGTATTATATAATTTCCAATATGATTTTTATCTGCACCATAAATTATTTAAAACTTTTTTTTTTTTTTAAGTTTCTAATTTTACTTATGTAAGAAGGAGCATCACTAAGTTGCTGAGGTCGGCCTCCAACTTGCTATCCTCCTACCTTGGCCTCCTGTATAGGTGAATTACAGGCACATAACAGCCATGCCCAGCTTCTCCTTTTTTCCTTTTTTCTTTTATAGACTTCTTGTTGATTTCTAATTTTGCTGTTTTGCTGTCAGAAAGTACTATCTGGATAATATCATTTCTTTAGTGTCGGATGAAACTTCCTTTGTGGTACAGGGTGTGGTGAAGTAATAAGATTCTGATGGGATCCTGGAAACAATTTCAGGTCCAGATATCCTCCTCTTAATCCTCCCCTGTGCTTGCTAGCAATTCTAGACCAGTGGTTCTCAAATTTAAGTATGTGTTACCTCCAGGCTGGAGACATGTCAACACCACATCTCTGGGCCCATCACCAAGAGTTTTGCGTTCAGCAGGTCAGGTGCAATTCAGGAATTTTGTTTTCAGCTGATGCTAACCTACTGGTCTGGGGATCACACTTGCAGAATTTCTGCTCTAAACCATAACGTCTCCTCTATTTCTCAAGATTTTTGGGGGGTCTAATATGCCAGTCTTGTCTTGGCAACCCATTTCTGCTATTTTGTGTCCCTGACACCTCCACATGTTTGTTGGGGTTATTTCTTCCAAGAACTCTGCTCTGTTCTGCAATCTGACTTTCACTTCTGATTATTCTATTTTCTTTTTCCAGAGTTTGAGCGGTAGCTCTACAGATCATCTTGTCCTGGGTCAGTAATTTTTAACCCTCATTTTACAGTCGAAAGACTCATGGGGGTTTTTAAGCATATGCACTCATGAACTTCTCCTAGAGATCCTAGATCACGCTTGTCACATGTGAAATTTAAATGCTTCATAGTTTATTCTAATGTGTAGTCAGGATCAAGATCTATTGACTGTGGGCTAGAACTCAATGGCTGAGATATGATGCTTATTTTTGTACTCTTTCTCATTTACCTCTTCCTTCCCCAAATCACTTGTTCAAGGCTTTATGTTTGCAAATTTGCCTTATCACCAAAGTCTGCAAACTAGTTCTCCAAGCCATTTGAATCCATCTTATTGCCAGATTAATCTTCTCAAATGTCACTTTGATTATCTAGTTCTTGTTACAAGTTTCAGTGGACATTTTTTTTTTTTTATCATGGTGGTTACTAATAAGATAAACCATCCAATCTTTCAATCTCTATTTCCCCACTCCAGGCGAACTGTGGTTTATCTCACCAGTTTGCTTTTGCTTATACCCTTCCCCACCAGTTGGTAGAATCTTTTCCAGCCTTGGAAACATAAATCAAATCTTATTTTTTTCCATGATAATTGAACCCAGGTGTGCTTTACCACTAAGTTACATCCCCATTCCTTTCTGATTTTTATTCTGAGACAGGGTCTTGCTAAATTTCTAAGGCTGGCCTCAAACTTGCGATCCTCCTTCCTAAGCCTCCTGAATTGCTGGGATTACTGGCATGTGCCACCCTGCCTGGCTCAAATCTTACTCCTTTTGGGGATCTCCTTTAGGTCCATACTCTGAAGCCAGATG